ATACATTTTAAGATTTATGTGAATATATGTACGCACGCGCACACACATGGCCGAGTTGTTAGAACGTTAGTTTTCTAGCCATGAGACCCGAGTTCGCATCTCACCATTTGTCAGTGAACTTACTTGCTGATGTTATCGGTCTGGATCGAGTTCGATCCTAGCGTGCGGCACCATACGAAAGTGCCTGAAACCCATACCCCGGTATGTGTATATTCGGTCAGGTTCTACTTCATATATATTTCATAGTAATTTTCAAATATTATACATTTTCTTTCTTTTTTTCGCCTTTCCTCATTCCTTGCTCCTCTCTTCCTAAAGATTTACCTGATCTTCCTTTGGGTGACTTTTTCTTTACACAATGCTCAAGGGAATCATCAAAGGAACCTATTTTGAATATCTGGACGCCATCAAGAGGACCGTAACAACGGAGCTAAGGGTCATCCAAGAATAATCCTTCCAGTACTCTGTAAAATCTTAGCAGGGAAGGATGGGAAAGTGCATTAGACCCGAGGGAGTGGGGTGATTTGAAAGAAAAAACATGTAGTTTGTTGTTTCGAATTGTTGTTTTTAGCACGGCACCCCGTCTCCTTACGTTTCAGACAGACCTCGTGTTCGTCGATACACACATATGCACACGCACAAACACAGACACATAACATACACTCGTACATATATATGCATGTATTTATATTACATGAATCATTCATACAAAAAACAGATATAGAAGTTAATGATTTAAATGGCGAAAATACATTTTCGGAAACGTAAATTCTAAGGCAAACATTTTTTTTTCTTACACTTCTCGCTTGTGGAACCCCTTTCCAGCTTCAGGATTTCCGGCCAACTTTAATCTGCAAAAATTTAAATGCAATGACAATCATTATCTACTTTACACCTGATCACCCTCTTCTCTTTCTGCTCATTATTAATGCTCCTGTTTCTTCCCCACCCTGTAAACCCTTGTGGTTTTGTGGTATTAATGACTTTCTTGACGTGGTTCCGATTCACACACACACTTACACACACATACACACACACACATATATATATATATATATATATATATATATATATATATATATATATATATATATAATTATTCAAAATATGATTTCAACACTACATATATATATATATATATATATATATATATATATATATATATATATATATATATATAAAAAAATATAATGTAGTGGTTCCAACGAGAGAAAAGTATGTATATTAAAAAGAATAGAAGAGAGGTTTACCGCAAACGTTTTTGGTTGTAATGTGGATTTATTTAGAAAAAATATTATGCTTTGTTTTACATAATTTCACGACACGTGTTTCTGGTCTCGCGACCGTCTTCAGAAAAAAAAAAGGGGGAAATTACCAACACACAAACAGAAAATGTCTCATATCGATAATATTTAACATTGAACATGAGGAAAAATTAATTATTATTTTTAATAATATGTGGAAATCTCCACTTTTACCTGAAGATGATTTTCGTCCTGTGTAAACTTCTTTCAGTTCTTGAGTAATATCACACACGTTTCACGTACGATTTCATTTTCAAGTTTTTTTTCACTGCACTTTGGACTGTCATAGCTGAAACTTCTCTCTCAAGTGATAAATGTTTTGTTGATTGAGTTGGATCTTTTCTAATTGATCGTGTTGGGTCTAAGTTGGAATAATGATCACTCTTCCTGCTGTGACCTCCTGATTTCTTCTCTACAGTTCCCTCTTTTTTAAACTTATTCAACGCTCTCTTGATAGTTCTTTTATGAACTTTGAAGATAGAAGGCATAAGATGAATGTTGCTACAATTACTGAAAACCTGAATGATCTTTTCCTCTCTCTATAGCTCATTTGGGACGACAGTATGTCTGACACAAAATCATTTTAACCTGTTCTCTTTCTAGCTGAATAACTCAAAGGTGTTTTTTTTATTGATTCTTACGATAAATGGTGTCAAGATAGCTGGACCTTTTATGTAAAATCCTGGAAAAAGGAGAATCAATTAGTTAAGTGTTTTTTTTTTTTAGATATTAAACATTTTGTGTGATCGATAATTATGCTGTTACATGATTTGGACAATTTTGTTGTTACACCCGGTAGTTGGATATTTGATAACAATATAAATTGGTTATATGTTACACACTACTTAGTTATATTGGCTGAGTATGTGCCTTGATCTATGATTACGTTGCATCCATTGAATTGTGGCAGCTTCCAGAAAGAACACCCAGAGTGTCACAAATCAGAAATAGTTGAACATTAGTTCACAAGGCAGAAAAACAGCAATGTATTTTCGGTGTTAATTCAGGCTTCTCGGTCACCGGATTTCAATACCCTTGCGCACCTTTGAGATGAGGTGGAAAACTAGATTCCAGTCCCGTGCGTACAGCCAATGAATCAAGGGCCCAAATTTCGAAAGAGCTGCTCCGAAACGTTATCAAATCCACGCCAAGAAGAAATGAGACACTTTTATCTGTAAAAATTGGTCCAACCCGACATAGGAAAGAGAGTACATGATAAAGAGACCAGTGAGTGTATATGTATTTATGTTTTTATAAACCGTGAAAGAAGGCTTCTATTCAATATATATTTTTATGGAAATTTTCCAATCTAATACATCATGTAATGCAATGTTCTTGAACAGATAAACAGATTTTAAAAAAAATACTCGTTTTTCTGTTACCCTCTCTTCTTTCTATATGTCGGTTAGTGCGTGTATTTTTCGTATTATCTTTGGGTGCCTGCTTGTGCGTAACTCTAGTCAAGGCAACTACAGAATTAAAAGACCCGGACATTCAATTTGATGGATTGATACATAATCTAATAATCGATCTTTACAAAAGTCCTATAAAATACGAGTAAATTGTTTTATAATAATTTACGAGGGAAGAATTAAGACTATTTATTTTTAGCAAACATGTTTATTGCTTTCCGCTGCTCATACCAAAGTGAATAGGATTTGAAAAAAAAAAATAGAACGGGTTCTTCCATTGTTTCACTGCTGTTTGTACTGGGGTGGGATAGAGAGAGTAGGAATTGTAGGTAGAAGATTCTTGTACGGTGTTTGGGATGGGGCCGAGTATGGCACCGAAAGACTATTATCAAAAACAATATTAAATCACGAAGAAACTAATTGCTTTCGAGCCTTTTCTTTCAGAAAAAAATTATACAGCGATTTTCTCAGCGTGGCATAGCTGTGGTACAAGTCCGAAAATATGGGGTACCCAATGAGTAACAAACTCGCTACTCAGTCGTAATTAATCTAGCAAGGCAAGCTTGCTAGCCATTACACTACGTTGAAATATCCTTGATTTTCTAATTGTAGTTTAGATATGATACAAGGCCCAAAATCTGTGGCATCCATTGAAGATCGAACTCAATACTCAGGTGTCATTGATCAAGCGAGTCATTCAAGTTAACCATTACATCACGTTGAACTGCTCAAATATATAATGGTGATTTTCTAAGTGCAGATGTACAATGATGAAAGTATGGAGTACTCAGTGAGGTACGAACTCACTATTCAGGCGTCAATGATCTAGCGAGACAAATTTCCTGACTATATATATAACGATCGCTAAAGCGTGAAACCCAGGGTCACAAACTCACATCTATCCAACCAAATATGTTAGCTCTATCTCTGATATTGAGCGCTTTCTAATAAGTACCGCGCATATAATATATAAACAATTATACATATGTATATTTATTTATATTTATATACACTTTTCACATATATATATATATATATATGTATGTATATATATATATATGTATATTAAAAATATTCTGCAAAACGTTTTGGTTCACGCAGAACCTTAATGTGGATTTATTGAAAAAAAATATATTTTTACATAATTTCAGAATGTCTCATATTCTATTCCACATTGAACTTCAAGAAAAATTAATTATTTTATATGTAAAAAATTAATTTTCTTCATGTTCAATGGAAACATTCTCGATATGAAACATTCTGTTTTTTCTCAATAAATCCATTTTCAACCAAAAAACGTTTGCAATGCACCCCTCTTTTTTTTTAATATACATAAATTTCTCGTTGAACCACTACAACATTCTGCGTTATATATATGTATATATACATATATGTATATATATATATATGTATATAGATGTATATATATGTATATATATATATATATATATATATATGTATATATATATATATGTATATATATGTATGTATATATATATGTATGTATGTATATATATATGTATATATATATATGTATATGTATATATATGTATATATATATGGATATATATATATATGTATATATATGTATATATATATATATATATATATATGTATGTATGTATATATATATATATATATATATATATATATATATATATATATATATACTATAGAAAATTGTTGGAATATCCATTTGGATTTAATACTAAGTAAATTTGCTAAATTCTTTGGTCTAATTAATTACTCCCAAGTTAAACTATCGAAACTGTTTATACCATTTCTGTATGCTATCCATTTTTAAGAGGGGATTTGAAAGTTTTAAATCCGCCAGCCCTACGTTTATTATAAGCCTGCAAAGTCGATTTGTCAGAATTCAGCCTAAGTAAAGTTCAGAACGTTAAGGAACATTTTGCAACAATTGGTTAATGTATTTATTGTTGAATATATTATAAAACCTTTCAGGAAATGTACGCGGTCTTTAATTTTTAATCCTTTAGAGAAGGTTATGAAACAAGTAAAATTATCAGTGCAGACACGGTTATCTAAATTTTGTTGTCGGCCAATGGAGGTAAAGGATAGGCTTGGATTCAAGCCAGTTCGACTTGTACATAGCAATTTTACACGTTATAAGTTACTTCGTCCTGAAATGGATGAAGCATCTTTTCACGAGTCGTTGTCTCAGCTCTGTCAAGTTGGTTACTGCTGGTAGCATTTACAGGTGTCTGTTCCCTATGATTGACAATTCCCAGCCTTTATCCATTACATCATTCGCACATCCAAGCTTACAGCACCTATTCCTCGCAAGCTTCACCCATCAACGTACTGACCAGGTCCGACGTTGTTTGACTTCGGTGATCGTTCGAGAACCGGTGCTTGAACGTGATGTGGGCGTATGCTTCGGGTATCTTTTATGTTATGAAAATTTCAATGAACCTAAAAAAAACAAACAAACAAAAAACCGTATGACACTATCTCTTCAAGAATTTATCGATTTCTTTTGGAATCGACCTAGTGAAATTCGCCATTTTAGAAAGGTTGCAACACTGCAAAAGAATTACATTTATCACGCTAGTGTAAATATTTATGCACGTGCGGAAAATAAAAGTATTCACGTTTATGTGTAAACAATATGAAAAAAATGCATATGTCGTTCATGTTTTTAAATTCATTCTTATTTGTTTGTCTATTTCAAAGCACAATACAGCTTTTTTTTTTCTATATCTCCATTGAGCATTTTCTATAGGCAGTAGCGGCAAAACGTCATTTTTTTTTCTCCACCTATGCGATAATATAAGAAATTATTTATCTATTTTCTTCCTTTTTATTTTCCACTTTATATCATCTCTAGAGTATTCTCATATATAGAAGCAATCTATCACTGAAATGCCTTGCGTTTGAGTTTACGCGAGCTTTTCTTTTGCAAAAGTCGATCGACTAATAACGCAATGATTTTACATGCTTGATGCATTTACAACACATTGTCCTTGTGGGTATATACATCAATTCTTTCTGTATTTATGACGTATATATTCATTCTGTTTCCATTTACGATTCGGAAATTTTCTAAAAATATTCGCGGTTCTTTAACATTTAGTTGTTTTTGTGCACTCAGTTGAACCTACAGACACCATTTGGTGAAAATCGCAAGTCATACGTTTATTAAAGTGACAGTATATTCTACGTGGCAGAGTTGCGGAACGTCAATACCTTGATTATGTCCTTATGTTCCCTAGGGGTTAAATGTGCTATACATTTTACCGTAATTCCTCATGTATAATACGCATTTTTTTTTCTAAAAAATAATAAGCAAAATTAGGGGTGCGTATAATGTACAGCTATAACAATATCTTTAAAAAATTGCCGTTTCATAGGTTGATGGGGAAATGGCGACTCACCACAAACATATGGCAATTTGATACTAACATTCGGGGATTGCAACCCCATAAATATGTCAAATACAATCATATGTATCTAACAATATTAGGTTGCTGCATAATTTTCAGTTATTTTTTAAAACAATATTTATTACGAAAAAAGAAACATAACAATTTAACAATAATATTTTTAAAAGATTATTCCGGTAGCGTATGTTTATCGACACTTATTTTTATAACCTGAAAATAAAGTAATATTTTTATTAAAAAATAAACAAAACAGTAATTTTTTATTAACTCGCCTACAAAAACGCCTGATAATTATGCACCAACCCAATATTTACAAATGTAAAATAAAATCATAATACTATTCTATGTTTAAAAAACATTTTTTTAATAAGAGAAGGAAACTCTGGCCGTAATGAAAATGTATAGGTAAAGTTTATAGGCTAGATTACCAAACAAGGGGTGCGTATTATGCGTGCGTAGTAGCATTTTCCCTCACTTTCAGCACAATTTTGGGGGGTGCGTATTATGGATGAATGCGTATTATACATGAGGAATTACGGTAGTTGTTGCGGTTGTTGAAAATTCTCAACTGATGTTGTTTCGGTTATTTGGTAAATTTCAATTTCTTTTTTTTTTCTAATATGTTGTGCCAGTCAACGAAGTTCGATGAAGGATGTTCCTCTGTAAGACAAAAAAGTGTTCAGTAACTCCAAGCCATCTTTAAACCTTGATCTATAAAATCGATTGTATACAGCTAAGAGTTTAAATATCCTCGAACTAGTTTCGCTCCATGCATAACATCCATATGGAATGATGAATCCGATGAGATTTTTTAAGTTCATGACTCGAGTTTTAAAGGTAATGTTTTAGTTTTTAGCAAAATGTGACCAACGATGAAGTTTTAGAGAAAATGGAAAGAAAAAAGACATTTATATTTAATATCAGGAAGAGACAGTTGAAATTTCTAGGTTGCATAATGAGGAAAGAGGGCTTGAAAAATTTGATACTCAAAGGACGGATTAAGAGCAAGAGGTACAAAGGAAAACAAAGCAGAACTTAGTGAGTTTGAGTAAATGGATATGTAACAGGGTTAAGGAGAAATAGTAGAAAGAAAAAAGTATTTTTTAAACGCTGCAAGGGACAGGAAATTGTGGAGAGCCTTGATCACTTACGTTCTGAGCGGACAAGGCAAATAAAGATATAGGTGCTAAGAATATCATGTCCGACAAAATTCTAGAGAAAATAAAAACAAACAGGGCGTATGCTTAACAGCATGGATGAGACAGTTACTAAGTGGTATAATGAGAAAAGAAGGCTTGGAAACTTTGATACTCACAGGACAGATTGGAGGCAAAGTGGACAGACGGAAACAATGCTTAACATACTTAGTGTAGCTCGAGTAAATGAATGACGGAGCACGGTTTAAATTTATAACAAAAAGACAACGTTTATTAAGAAGTACAAAAGACAGGGAAATTGTGGAGAATTATGATCTCCCGCGTCCTGAAGGGACACGGTATAAAGAAGAAGTAGAAAAGAAGAAGAAGAAGAGGAAATCAGTAATATACTCAGTAAGTCGCCCAAATCTTTGCAATTGTGCCATCTGAAGAAATTTTTAAATATTTAGCTGCTATTTTCTGTCCCATTGAAATAGGTGCCTTCAAATATTTCAGATTTAAAATACGGTAATCTATACTAATTTGCAATATCATTGGACTTGCCCTTGCATCTCAGCTTCAGCTGATTTCCCACTGTCGTAACGTAGCTTCCCTGTACCTTTTCTATTTAATCCAATCATTCCTATAAGTTCTTAAAATGAAGGTCGTCCTGAACGGGCTCTCTTCCAGTTCATTTCATACGAACGCGGGTGTTCCTCAAGACTGTATCCTGGATCCTACAGTTTCCGATCTTCATAAATGAACTTCCTGATGTAATCATCTCTCAGATGGGCATCTATGCAGACGACACTACCATTTACTCCTGTCTCAATAGCTTAATCCGTAAATCCAGCAATGCTGAAAAAGCTAAACTGGCCGTTCATCTTGAAAAAAACCTCCAATCAGTGGTTAACAGGACAGTTAATTGGCATTTAAATTTTAATGTTTCCAAAACTAAACTGCTCTCATATAGCGACCACAGAGAAAATTCCCTGCCCGCTTTCGGCATGGTTGATGATTGACTCCGCGAGAGTGCTTCACTGCGCCTTCTTGGCCTCACGTTTCCAGGTGGAATAGCTACACCGAATCAATAACTGCATCTACCGCGAGGAAATACGTATCTCTGCGTCGTGCCAGACGATTTTTCTCGTCTCAGATCATCCTACACATCTACAAATCTACCATTCGTCCATGCATTGAATACTGTTGCCATGTCTGGTCTGGTAGGCTGGCTGTTCATCTCGAGGTCCTCGCGAAAATCCAAAGAACGATCTACAATATAGGCGATCCTGATTTGGTATCTCGACTCCAGTCACTTTCTCAAAGACGTGATGTGGTTTCCCTCTGTCTTTTCTACAAATAAATTCAAGGCAACGGCTCTGACGAGCTATTTTCCCTGGTGCTGCGATAAATTTTAGCGTGTTACTAGGTGATCCATTCGTTGATCCATACCCAGTCTTTTCTCTTACTTTCACTCTCTGTAACCCCCTGCGAAGTAGTTACACTCCCGCCTTCCTTGAAGTGAAAGGCTTCAAAAACATACAGAAAAACTTTCATGGCAATTTTTCTCTATGAATTTAAGCGTACAATATTGTTGACAAGGCCTCATTGTTTTACAGTTTTCATCTCTATCTATAAAAGGCAGGATGTGTGTGTGTATGTAACAAATGCACGGCCGCAATTTTCGACGGATTTGCACCAAAATTTACATGCACATTCTCCAAGTTAACGGAAAGGCCAAGACTGATTTTGCATTTCCCAACTCCCATCGATAGTGGAAATAATCGCTATTTTCATGCTTCTACCGCATTTTTCATGTAGTTTGCGGCCATTTTGTACTGGCCAGAGTGAGAGCCTATAGCTGGCTGCCACGAATAGGCAGGCAGATTCTATTGGCCAGCGTGAGAACCAACAGCTGAATGACACGAATGTTAACTAGCATGCAAAAAAATATCGATATCTGCATTCGTCACAAGTGGGAAAAAATTAAATCTACATGGCACTATACTCCAATTGGCTCATTCGCTTGCTTAAACTCAACGTTGATTCTGATTCCGCTGAACTGGGTTGGGTGTGAAAAAGTATTTGTTGTTAACATTCTTTTTTCATTCGGTTTTTCCAGTTACGAGTCCTTTTTTTTAAAACTGATCGTTTTGTGTTCATTTTGTTTAGTTCTTTTTTCGTAACAGATTTAATGTTTAGTATAGAGCTTAGAAAAAATTCGCAGTGTGAGATAGGCAAGAAGTAAGGCATGTAGCAATATCAGCATGACAAAGGGCACTCCTTTAACGGCAGGGAAAGGCAAAAATATTTTAAGTCAAGTGATAGCGATTGCTGTATGAGTCGTACGATTTTTGAATCAAGCACGGGCAACACCGAGCCATGCTGCTATTGGCTAGATATAGCCGTTCTATGCTCACAGTTTCTTTTCTTGCAATCTTCACTTGTGGAACACTCTTCCGGATTTTTGCTTTCCACTGAAATTTAAAAAAACTAAATACAATGTCAACCGTTGTTTTCCATTTCCTTAAATCCTGTCCTTTTATTGTTCTTCCTCCTTACATGGTAAACATTTCTATTATTATTTCACTCTCATTATGCCACTCGTGTCCTAGTAGCTTTGGTGCCTTACTTGGGGTGAAATGATTAAAAAAATACAAAAAACAAGTTAGTGGAATATATATATATATATATATATATATATATATATATATATATATATATATATATAAAATGACCGGATATATTGTAGCGTCTTGTCAAACGTAATTTCAATGAAGAAATGAATTGAATAAACATATATATTTTTCTTTTCTCAATAATTTTGTAGTTTTAAACTTAATAGTGATTAAA